TCCCAGCAGTCATGGATGCATCCTAGCAGTCATAGATGCATCCCAGCAGTCATGGATGCATCCCAGCAGTCATAGATGCATCCCAGCAGTCATGGATGCATTCTAAGAGACATGGATGCATCCTAGCAGTCATAGATGCATCCCCGCAGTCATGGATGCATTCTAAGAGTCATGGATGCATCCTAGCAGTCATAGATGCATCCCAGCAGTCATGGATGCATTCTAAGAGTCATGGATGCATCCTAGCAGTCATAGATGCATCCCAGCAGTCATGGATGCATCCCAGCAGTCATGGATGCATTCTAAGAGTCATGGATGCATCCTAGCAGTCATAGATGCATCCCAGCAGTCATGGATGCATCCCAGCAGTCATGGATGCATTCTAAGAGTCATGGATGCATCCTAGCAGTCTTGGATGCATCCTAGCAGTCATGGATGCATCCCAGCAGTCATGGATGCATCCCAGCAGTCATGGATGCATCCTAGCAGTCATAGATGCATCCCAGCAGTCATGGATGCATCCCAGCAGTCATGGATGCATCCTAGCAGTCATGGATGCATCCTAACAGTCATGGATGCATCCTAACAGTCATGGATGCATCCTAGCAGTCATGGATGCATCCCAGCAGTCATGGATGCATCCTAGTAGTCATGGATGCATCCCAGCAGTCATGGATGCATCCTAGCAGTCATGGATGCATCCCAGCAGCCATGGATGCATCCTAACAGTCAAGGACGTATTCCAGCAGTCATAGCATGTCTCCACAATGGCTGCTGCAGGTTGCCAGTACCAACAGTCAGGATGACCAGGTACTTCCCAAGGAAGCCTGTTTTCAGGCCAGGCTATCTGGTAAGGATTAACTCTTGAAACTGAGTGTGTTCAATCTCTCTCTCTCTCTCTCTCTCTCTCTCTCTCTCCTCACTCAAAACACAAATTTACTGGATGCTATCAGAGGAATAATAAAATAATAATAACAATAATAATAATAATAATAATAATAATAATAATAATAATACTGTAACAATAACAATAATGATGAAGATAATAATAATAATGTAACAATAACATAAATAATAATAATAATAATAGAAGTAATAATAATAATAATAATAATAATAATAATAATAATAATAATAATAATAATACTGTAACAATAACAATAATGATGATAATAATAATGTAACAATAACATAAATAATAATAATAATAGAAGTAATAATAATAATAATAATAATAATAATAATAATAATAATAATAATAATAATAATACTGTAACAATAACAATAATGATGATAATAATAATAATGTAACAATAACATAAATAATAATAATAATAGAAGTAATAATAATAATAATAATAATAATAATAATAATAATAATAATAAGATCCTACTTTTGCTGATAAAAAGTCTGATATTGAGACTTTTTTCATAACAGTTAAAATATATAACTTTCATTACCTTCAAATATTTACGATGGCGAAGAATTTCCTTTCAACTGGAGAATTAAGTAATGTCGACGTCTCTTTTATGGCAGATAATATTCATTTAGATATATATAATGTACATATTACCAGAATTTATTACGACTATTACTGATGTTGATAATGGTAATGTTGCATTTTAATGTTTATATCATATATTTACTCGACGTTTAAACATATGTGATGGTGGCAGTATGGTAGTGAATGTGGTGCACTATGGTACTGTGTCAGTATGGGAGTGAATGTGGTGCACCATGGTACTGTGTCAGTATGGTAGTGAATGTGGTACACTATGGTACTGTGTCAGTATGGTAGTGAATGTGGTGCACTATGGTACTGTGTCAGTATGGTAGTGAATGTGGTGCACTATGGTACTGTGTCAGTATGGTAGTGAATGTGGTGCACTATGGTACTGTGTCAGTATGGTACTGAATGTGGTGCACCATGGTACTGTGTCAGTATGGTAGTGAATGTGGTGCACCATGGTACTGTGTCAGTATGGTAGTGAATGTTGTGCACCATGGTACTGTGTCAGTATGGTAGCGAATGTGGTACACTATGGTACTGTGTCAGTATGGTAGTGAATGTGGTACACTATGGTACTGTGTCAGTATGGTAGTGAATGTGGTACACTATGGTACTGTGTCAGTATGGTAGTGAATGTGGTACACTATAGTACTGTGTCAGTATGGTACTGTGTCAGTATGGTAGTGAATGTGGTACACTATGGTACTGTGTCAGTATGGTACTGTGGCAGTATGGTAGTGAATGTGGTGCACCATGGTACTGTGTCAGTATGGTACTGTGGCAGTATGGTAGTGAATGTGGTACACTATGGTACTGTGTCAGTATGGTAGTGAATGTGGTACACTATGGTACTGTGTCAGTATGGTAGTGAATGTGGTACACTATGGTACTGTGGCAGTATGGTAGTGAATGTGGTACACTATGGTAATGTGTCAGTATGGTAGTGAATGTGGTACACTATGGTACTGTGTCAGTATGGTAGTGAATGTGGTACACTATGGTACTGTGTCAGTATGGTAGTGAATGTGGTACACTATGGTACTGTGGCAGTATGGTAGTGAATGTGGTACACTATGGTAATGTGTCAGTATGGTAGTGAATGTGGTACACTATGGTACTGAGTCAGTATGGTACTGTGGCAGTATGGTAATGAATGTGGTGCACCATGGTACTGTGTCAGTATGGTTCTGTGGCATTATGGTACTGTGGCAGTATGGTAGTGAATGGTACACTATGGTACTATGGCAGTATGGTAGTGAATGTTACACCATGGTACTGTGGCAGTATGGTAGTGAATGTGTTACACTATGGTACTGTGTCAGTATGGTAGTGAATGTGGTGCACTATGGCACTGTGGCACTATGGTAGTGAATGGTACACTATGGTACTATGGAAGTATGGAGGTGAATGTGATACACTATGGTATTTTGGCACTATGATAGTGAATGGTACACTATGGTACTGTGGCACTATGGTAGTGAATGGTACACTATGGTACTGTGGCACTATGGTAGTGAATGGTACACTATGGTACTGTGGCACTATGGTAGTGAATTGTACACTATGGTACTGTGACACTATGGTAATGAATGGTACACTATGGTACTGTGGCACTATGGTAGTGAATGGCGCACTATGGTACTGTGGCACTATGGTAGTGAATGGTACACTATGGTACTGTGGCACTATAGTAGTGAATGGTACACTAGGGTACTATGGCACTATGGTAGCGAATGGTACACTATGGTACTGTGGCACTATGGTAGTGAATGGTGCACTATGGTAGTGAATGGTGCACTATGGTAGTATAGTAGAGAGAGGAAGCAGAGGACTACTTCTATCTAGAATTAAGGACTCGAGTGTAGCTGCCAGGTGAACGTACTTTATAATGTATTACCTAGGTGAACGTATTCCACGGTACTGTATTATCTAGGTGAACGTACTCCATAGTATTATCTAGGTGAACGTATTCCATAGTATTATCTAGGTAAACGTACTCCATAGTATTATCTAGGTGAACGTACTCCATAGTATTATCTAGGTGAACGTACTCCATAGTATTATCTAGGTGAACGTACTTCATGGTACTGTATTATCTAGGTGAACGTATTTCATGGTACTGAATTATCTAGGTGAACGTACTTCATGGTACTGTATTATCTAGGCGAACGTACTTTATGATACTGTATTATCTAGGTGAACGTACTTCATGGTACTGTATTATCTAAGTGAACGTACTTCATGGTACTGTATTATCTAGGTGAACGTACTTCATGGTACTGTATTATCTAGGCGAACGTACTTCATTGTACTGTATTATCTAGGCGAACGTACTTCATGGTACTGTATTATCTAGGTGAACGTACTTTATGGTACTGTATTATCTATGTGAGCGTACTTCATGGTACTGTATTATCTATGTGAGCGTACTTCATGGTACTGTATTATCTATGTGAGCGTACTTCATGGTACTGTATTATCTAAGTGAACGTACTTCATGGTACTGTATTATCTAGGTGAACGTACTTCATGGTACTGTATTATCTAAGTGAACGTACTTCATGGTACTGTATTATCTATGTGAACGTACTTCATGGTACTGTATTATCTAGGTGAACGTACTTCATGGTACTGTATTATCTATGTGAACGTACTTCATGGTACTGTATTATCTAGGTGAACGTACTTCATGGTACTGTATTATCTAGGTGAACGTACTTCATGGTACTGTATTATCTAAGTGAACGTACTTCATGGTACTGTATTATCTATGTGAACGTACTTCATGGTACTCTGTTTTCTAGGTGAACGTACTTCATGGTACTGTATTATATCTAGGTGAACGTACTTCATGGTACTGTATTATCTAGGTGAACGTACTTCATGGTACTCTGTTTTCTAGGTGAACGTACTTCATGGTACTGTATTATCTAGGTGAACGTACTTCATGGTACTGTATTATCTAGGTGAACGTACTTCATGGTACTCTGTTTTCTAGGTGAACGTACTTCATGGTACTGTATTATCTAGGTGAACGTACTTCATGGTACTCTGTTTTCTAGGTGAACGTACTTCATGGTACTGTATTATCTAGGTGAACGTACTTCATGGTACTCTGTTTTCTAGGTGAACGTACTTCATGGTACTGTATTATCTATGTGAACGTACTTCATGGTACTCTGTTTTCTAGGTGAACGTACTTCATGGTACTGTATTATCTAGGTGAACGTACTTCATGGTACTGTATTATCTAGGTGAACGTACTTCATGGTACTCTGTTTTCTAGGTGAACGTACTTCATGGTACTGTATTATCTAGGTGAACGTACTTCATGGTACTGTATTATCTAGGTGAACGTACTTCATGGTACTGTATTATCTAGGTGAACTTACACTGTGATATCGTGTCACTGTGGTAATAAAAATTATTCTGAAGTTATATTGAAATGGATGATAACGGAAGACTGACAAGAGATGAATCATCCCACAGGACGTTAATGATGCAGCGGAAAACAGTGTACGTGTTGTTGATGACTGCTGGTGTCTTCTCTCTCCTGGTATTCCACCTGGTACCTATGAATATGTCTTACAATACCAAGTTCGTCAGGTACATGACAGCACCGATGGCTGACACTCCTCACCCAGTAGTCTGTACACCGGTCAAGCCTTTTTACACGGAAACTGAGCTCAAAGGTAAACTTTACGATAGATGACATCAAGTTGCTTAGTAAAGCATATGTTAGGTAAAAGGAGACAAGTGCAACTAATGTGACATTTTACTGTGGCAACGTTTCGGTTTGATAAAGCTCCTGGAGAGCGAAACGTTGCCACAATAAAATGTCACATTAGTTGCACTTGTGTCCTTTTACCCAACATATTGTCGGTAACTCTACCAACATTAATAAAGCATTTGTGCAACAGGTGGGTGTCTTTATTGCTTTCCAGGCTGAGGGACTGACCACCTTAATGCTACTACTGTCACCTCTGTTATATAGCTCCTCTATATAGTCCAGTTTTCGTAACTACAAGTGGAAAAAAACATCAGAAATTGGAAAGCACCGTTATGAAGCCGTTTCCATACGCTATTCAATTTTGGAAATACTACTTGTTCAGTCACAATTCCAAAATTTCACTGTAGAGGAACTATATAAGAAAGTTGACTGTATCTCAAGCTTAATAGACTGATCACATCTTTACCTCTCCACTGCTTCTGTTGTCTCCATATTTACTCACCTCTGTATTCAACTGAAGAAGTTTGCTGTGTAGGCGAAACGTTCCAGAAATAAAGATATAATATAATAATATATCTGTATTTACTACAAGTACACGTACAAGGTATACAGACCATAGCTGACATCAATGACATATTACTATATAGAAAGCCCCTTGTTATGCACAGCATTTCGCCACCAAGCCACGGGCTTGAGAAGTGAGAAAATTATATTTGTCAGAGCAAATGTGTGAAACCAGGAAATGTGTAAAATCCCTGAAAAATTTAAATAAAGAAGCATAATAAACCACGGTACAGGTGGGGACTGAACTCGCAGCAAGTCGTAAAACTGTAGCCAACTGACGCGCTGGCCTGGAGTTTTGCGACTCACTTGCCACGAGTTCAATTCCTACCCGCACCGTGGTGTATTTCCAATCGTGTCATTACGATTTCGTGAGTCAAAAAGAAGCATAATCGTTGTCTTCCCAAATTAAGTTCCACACTAGAAATTCATTGAACACAATTTAAGGAAAACGAAAATACTGACCACCTGTTGAAGGACGCTCATGCATTAAGTGATTAATCTAAACATTACTGTTTCTACTGAATTTTCAGGCATTTTAGGTAATTCCTGAGTTCAGATCAATGGTTCAGAGAACCGACAAGTTGATAACACCTGAGTATTTTTATCAATAAAGATACCCAAGTGTTGTACCGGTGTCCAATTTATCAATTCCTGAGTTTACACATCTACTGTAACGTACTTACGTCAGTAAGATCACTAAAGCTTCATTAGCTACGTCATAGATATGAGGGAACCTTTTTTGTATTGTCAAGTAGTTCAGATATCACTTCAAATTCATGTCTATACATATTCAACATGAAGCACTATATTCACTGGGAAGAACTAAGCCTGTAAGGGTCATACAGCACCTGGGTATGGGAGGTAATCAGGTTTGACCAGTGAACACTGAGGGGTGACCTTTATTCCACGCATCAAGAACCCTTTATTAGCATCAAGATACGTCCATTGAAGGGTGAAATGTACGATAATATAAATAACGATAATATCTAAGCGCTTTTGTACGGGTTTCCAATGTAAGTTCACGAAATTGCTCGGGTATTTTTTTTTTTTGCCATTATATATAATTCTGACGAGTATGACACTTGTACAACCCCTGGGTATCTTCATTATGAAGACGTTTCGCCCGCCAGTGGCTTTATCAATTCAATGCAGAGATTTATATACTGGAAACAATGGAAGATAAGATGTTTGGTCCCTCACTCATGATCAGTCTTAAGCAGAGTTTACGACCAACGGAATGAACATCTCTCAAAGCTGAGGGAGTGATTACCTCATCTTCCACTGTCTCCAGCACAGTCTCTGTACTGAACCTGAAAAGGCACTAGTCGGTGGAACGTCTGCATCACAGACGTTGTCAAGTGTTGCTAAAGTCTTGTCGGTATTGTGTACCAGTCATATAATGATACATAAATCTGTTCTAACCCCACTGCTCTAACAGGTCCAAAAATGAACAAAAGTTTGCTGCCAGAGGCCTGGTGCTTACCTCAGTCAAGATACCTGCCTCTACCCACAGACAACATGCATAGTAAGTCTCCTGCGTCTCTCCCTCTCTTGATAATAATAATAATAATAATAATAGACATGCACAGTAAGTCTCCTGCGTCTCTCCCTCTCTTGATAATAATAATAATAATAATAATAATAATAGTGGAGATGTCATGTCTGAGAGCAATGTGTGGTGTGAATATAATGCAGAGAATTCGTAGTTTGGAAGTTAGGAGGAGGTGCGGGATTACCAAAACTGTTGTCCAGAGGGCTGAGGAAGGGTTGTTGAGGTGGTTCGGACATGTAGAGAGAATGGAGCGAAACAGAATAACTTCAAGAGTGTATCAGTCTGTAGTGGAAGGAAGGCGGGGGAGGGGTCGGCCTAGGAAAGGTTGGAGGGAGGGGGTAAAGGAGGTTTTGTGTGCGAGGGGCTTGGACTTCCAGCAGGCATGCGTGAGCGTGTTTGATAGGAGTGAATGGAGACAAATGGTTTTTAATACTTGACGTGCTGTTGGAGTGTGAGCAAAGTAACATTTATGAAGGGGTTCAGGGAAACCGGCAGGCCGGACTTGAGTCCTGGAGATGGGAAGTACAGTGCCTGCACTCTGAAGGAGGGGTGTTAATGTTGCAGTTTAAAAACTGTAGTGTAAAGCACCCTTCTGGCAAGACAGTGATGGAGTGAATGATGGTGAAAGTTTTTCTTTTTCGGGCCACCCTGCCTTGGTGGGAATCGGCCAGTGTGATAATAAATAAATAAATAAAAATAATAATAATAATAATAATAATAATAATAATGGACAACATGCATAGTAAGTCTCCTGCGTCTCTCCGTCTCTTGATGATAATAATAATAATAATAATAATAATAATAATAGACAACATGCATAGTAAGTCTCCTGCGTCTCTCCCTCTCTTGATAATAATAATAATAATAATAATAATAATAATAATAATAATAGACAACATGCATAGTAAGTCTCCTGCGTCTCTCCCTCTCTTGATAATAATAATAATAATAATAATAATAATAATAGACAACATGCATAGTAAGTCTCCTTCGTTTCTCTCTCTCTTAATAATATCTTTATTTCTACAAATACATGTAGAAGGTATACAGGCCTAGCTGACATCAATGACATAGTACTATACAGAAAGCCGCTTGTTATGCTGAGCATTTCCCGCAAATTAGGTCAGTTTTGTCCCAGGCTGCGACCCACACCAGTCGACTAACACACAGGTACCCATTTTATACTGATGGGTGAACATGGACATCAGGTGTCTTACGGAAACACGACCCTCATGTTTTCCATCCGTACAGGAGATCCGAACTCCAGACCTCAGTGTGTGAGCTGAGTGCACTAACGACCGAGCTGCTTGTAAAATCCATCAACATAACACGAACTAAAACAATATCCAAATAAATTTATATAGGATGTACAGATTGTATTAATGTTGGTAGAATTACCGACAATATGTTAGTAAAAGGACACGACGACAAGAACGTGACAAAGTTCCTGGAGAGCGAAACGTTGCCACAATAAAATGTCACTTTAGTTGCATTTATGTCCTTTTGCCTAACAGGATGTACGGAGGAAGATGGCAGTCAGCAGGATTCGAACCCACGTGTGGGGAGGATTATATCTCCCTAGTGTGAAGCTTTAGTCCACTCAGCTTCACATTGGAAAGTTATGCCACTCCCCACACGTGGGTTCAAATCCCGCTGACTGTCACCTTTCTCTGTATATACCTCCGCTTGGGTTAGGTTAGGTAAGGTTCGTCAGGAAAAAGTTCAAGTGTTTCCTGATGCGGGTCTTAGTCAGATGATGACCCGCCGCTGGAGGTTTTGGTCATCTGTCCGAGGCCTTCCCCTGGCTTACCCCTCCACCCCTTTAAAAATTATGGTCACAGTTATAATCATTTTTTATATTTATATAGATCGTGTGAAAAGGACACTTTCTTGGCTTCTCCAATACTGAAAAAACCACTAGTGGCGAAACGTTTTCTTTAATAGATGCCCTGAGCCATACACAAGTGTTCTTTACCACAGCTTATCGGTATCAGAATACCATGTACAACTATACGGTGTTGTAGAGAAGGAAGATACTTCAATAGCTCCGGAGGTAAAACGTTTCCTGAATAAAGATTCCCATATGTTGCATAAGTGATTCAATCTTCAACTTATGGGTTTTTCAAACCATTCATCACACACTCTGAGATCTCCCCCTAAGGTATATTTATTTTCTTCTCTGAGGATGAGGGTCCCTGATTAGCACCAAAGGCGGTACTTTCCTATATAAGAACTGTGTATTAAGAATATTGAAGACTAGGAACACACACTAGCAGGCTTCTTATGAATGCTGAACTTCAAGTTAAGAATATTAAAACTGGGGACGAAAGTTGGTAGATTTCTTATATATGTTAAGAACATGTTAAGAACACCAAGAACTAAGAATGCACACCGGTAGGTTCTTACGAATGTTGATCTTAAACAACTTCAATACCTTGTGAGTACAGACATACACAAATTACAAATAAACAAATAGCACAAAGACTCCTGTTTGTATCAGTGAGATATTTACTGTTAGAAATACTGATACGCAGCCTGGGAAAAATCATTAATGCTCAGCATCCACAAGCATTTCCCCAATATTTAGGCCACAATCAAGACAGGCTATCAGGGAATCAAGACAGGCTATCAGGGAATCAAGACAGGCTATCAGGGAACCAAGACAGGCTATCAGGGAATCAAGACAGGCTATCAGGGACTCAAGACAGGCTGTCAGGGAATCAAGACAGACTCTTGTCTTCAGAACAGAAACTAGGGGCCCCTTCAAACGAGTTCAGACACGTGATTGATAACACAAATAACCCGCACATAGAAGAGCGGAGCTTACGACGACGTTTCGGTCCGACTTGGACCATTTACCAAGTCACATTTTGTAAATGGTCCAAGTCGGACCGAAACGTCGTCGTAAACTCCTCTCTTCCATGTGCGGGTTATTTGTGTATTGTTCCAGTCACGGTATTGTGCCTTTATTTTGTTATTTACGTGTCTGGGCCATATTCCTAGAAAAGTGCAACTAATAAGACACATTTCTGTACACTGAAGTCTGGCAGCCAAAATTCCCAGTTGAGAAGAGAGTCGTCTTTAGGACTTTTGTTTACAAATATACTGATCGTCAATACAGAAATAACCCGCACATAGGAGACAGAGAGGCTTATGACACCGTTTCGCTCCGACTTGTAACATTTACAAGTCAAACTAACTTGTAAATGGTACACAAATAACCCGTATATAGAAGAGAGGAGCTTACGACGACGTTTCGGTCCGACTTGGACCGCAAACCTATGCACAGTGGCATGTACATTCACTACTTTTCTTATCATGCTTCCTCTGTCAAGAAAAGTGTTCTCATCTCCCTCTTTCTCCGTGATCTCCACATCTGTGATCCTCAGTTCCTTCAGTCAGAAATTTCCACTCTTCATAATTCATTTTCCCGTCTTGGTTACCCTTCCCATTTCATAGACTCTGCCTTCTCACGTGCTAAACGTAATTTCTTCTCTCCCAAACTCTCTACTCCTGGGAACTCTTCTGTCCTCTGCCTTCCCTACATTTCCGGTCTTTCTAATCTCAACAACTCTCTCCGTTCCATAGACATCAAACTTACTTTCCGCCAGACTAACACTCTTCGCACTAATCTCGTTCATACCTCTCCTCCCTCTACAGATGCTCCTGGTGTCTACTGTATTTCTTGTTCCTCCTGTCCTCTTTAACAGAGTGTTCATTGTCCTACGACTCAATGAACACAGTTTTGGTTCCAATTAACAGATTGTTCATTGTCCTACGACTCAATGAACACAGTTTTGGTTCCACTTAACAGATTGTTCATTGTCCTACGACTCAATGAACACAGTTTTGGTTCCACTTAACAGATTGTTCATTGTCCTGCGACTCAATGAACACAGTTTTAGTTCCACTTAACAGATAGTTCATTGTCCTGCGACTCAATGAACACAGTTTTGGTTCCACTTTGCAGATTGTTCACTGCCTTACGTCTCAATGAGCACAAACGGACGACTTGGCAACAAAATGTGTCAGTACATGTCTCTAGCACTACTAAGGAAGGTGTTTGGGATACGGGTAAGTGGAGCCAGGCTGACCGGAGGGGCCAGAATTGTAAGTTAAATTTGAAAAGTCCGTTACAATTCATGAGTTTAGGCACTTTTATTCCACATTAATGTTTTTAACCAAAAATATTTTAACTATGCTGGAAAAAATATAACTTTGTAAAATGCTTTAAACCTGAATAAAAACGTGAATGTTATGAATGAATATTTTTCTCGTATGAATTTCAGCTGTTCTATATGGTTGAAATGGAGACTAATGAAGAGTAGAATTTTTTTATGGTGTCAACGTTTCGCGTGTTCAGGCGAAACGTTCCCTCGATAATTTTGTGGTACATTTGCATTAATCTAATCTCTAAAAGCCTGCAAGACTCTTACCTTATTGCCATATAAGTGATTGACTTTCTGGTGCGGTTTAACATTCCTATCCAGATCTTACCCTAAAGTAGTTAAAACTTACAAATTTCCTGTGAAGGTGGATGATTAAGACACTTGTGCAACACTTGGGTATCTTATTATGTAGACGTTTCGTTAATGTTTCGCTTTATCAGTCCAATATAGAGAATCACAGTTGGGATAGTGAAGACAAGACGTAGTTTGAGGTGATCAGTCCCTCAGACTTAAAGACGTTCAGTTCATTAATCTAAGGTAGTATCTACTTCAGATCTGTCAATGCTGAGGGGACTGATTAACTCAAACCTCTTCATGCCTTTCTCAGTTTCCAACAGATTCATCAGGGCTATGGGACCGATCACCTTCAATTACTACGTCACATCTTTCATCGTTTAATCTCTACTAGACTGATAAACCCACTGGTTGGTGAAATGTCTCCACAGTAAAGATACCCAGGTGTTGCACAAATGTCTTATTCGTCTATCTTTCAATATTATAACCCCGTAATACATAATACTATTTCAAACACGTCTGAGGAATTATAGATGATCAAGCTTGACCTGATAATGGTAACAGTAACTCAAACTTAATGGGTGAAAAAATATTTGAAAACCTTTGTGTTTACGTACCATTAGTGGTTGAACGACCTCGTATATAGCAGCAATGGTTTGATGTCAGGATAATTTACAATTGCAATCTTTTCACCCGCAGGTTGCAATGGTTGAAGGTATGAAGCACCAAATCGGACCATTCTTTCCTAAGTTATCCATACCTGTGGAAGACCACAAGTGTTTTCCCGGCCACAATACTACAAGTGACTACAATGACCTTTACCTCAAGCTCATTGAATGGAGTGGAGGACGACTGCCATCCATAGCTGACTCCCAACTCTATCCCTATCCACTTAAAGTATCCACTTACGTCCAGGACTATCCGTGTCCCAGAACATTACTGCTGCCACTTAGAGACCACTTTCGCGAGGAATTATCGTTTCAACCAGAAACGATGAAAAAAGCTAGACAGATGCTTGATGATGCGCTTAAAACTGTACGAGATAATTCTACCCAACCAATGACCGTAATTACTGTCCACATACGCCGCACTGACTACATAACATATATAACGTACAGACATCATTTATTACCGCTACGAATGATATATTTCGCGAAAGCATTTAACTACTACAGACTGAGGTAAGTGAATATGTTAATAAAAATAATCTTTATTTCCGCAGGTACGTCTACAATATACACAGATCTATGTTGAAAGTAGTAAAAAATACCGACAAGTTGAAGATTAGGACACATGTGCAACAGTTAGGTACCTTTATTGATGAAACGTTTTGCCTACACAGGAGGTTTCAGTCAGATACAGAGGCAACAGATGATGTAAAGATGTAATCAGTCCATCAACCTTGGAGAAAAAGCATTTGAGGTGGTCAGTCCCTCAGCCTGGAGAAGAGTTCAGCTCCATGGTCTGGAACAAGGTGGTCAGTCCCTCAGCCTGGAGAAGAGTTCAGCTCCATGGTCTGGAACAAGGTGGTCAGTCCATCAGCCTGGAGAAGAGTTCAGCTTCATGGTCTGGAACAAGGTGGTCAGTCCATCAGCCTGGAAAGGAGTTCAGCTCTATGGTCTGGAACAAGGTGGCCAGTCCATCAGCCTGGAGAAGAGGTCAGCTCCATGGTCTGGAACAAGGTGGTCAGTCCATCAGCCTGGAGAAGAGGTCAGCTCCATGGTCTGGAACAAGGTGGTCAGTCCATCAGCCTGGAGAAGGGGTCAGCTCGATGGTTTGGAGCAAGGTGGTCAGTCCCTCAGCCTGGAGAAGAGTTCAGCTCCATGGTCTGGAACAATGTGAAGCTGAAGCATAGAGACCATGGTTGACATCACTGACGTACTATATAGAAAGCTCCTTGTTATGCAGAGCATCTCGGGCAAATTAAGTTCTATTAATGTTCCCTTGTGGTTCTATTGATGTTCTCTAGTGGTTCTATTGCTTCTCTAGTTCTATTGATGTTGTCTTGTCGTTCTATTGTTCTCTTGTGGTTCTATTGCGTCTCATGTGGTTCTGTCATTACCTTTTTTGGGGTAAAAAGAACGCAAGGGTAACTAATGAGACGTTTATAACGTCTATGTTTCGCTCCTGGAGAGTGAAACATAGACGTAATAAACTATCTCATTAGTTCCCATTATCTCTTGGGAACTTTTAACAAGCATTTTGTGGGTAACTTCACTAAAATACATAAATGATGTGTCATCTCTTCATTTTTCTATTCCCTAGACGTGAAAAAAAATCTTCATTTCTTATCGCAGCAAAAAAATAAAAAAAAAATCCTCTGGTATCTGAAAGATTTTTAAATTACTACGATTTCTCTGTCACTTTTCCGATCTTTTTTTAATCACGTTCCTCACCAGGACATTTGATTGACCGGATAGCCTGACTAAAACATCCCATTGATTTTGAATATTTGACTAGTTTCCCAATTTCCAACTAATTTTCCCATTTTCTAAATCAAGATTAGGTTAGGTCAGGTTAGGTCAGGTTATGTTATGTTAGGTTAGGTAAGGTTCACCAGGAAACAGAACAAGTGTTTCCTGACGCGGGTCGTAGTCATATGATGACCCGCCACTGGAGCTTCTGGTCATGTGACCTGGAGGGTATTCCGGGGGTCAACGCTCCCGCGGCCTAGTCCATGACCAGGCGTCCCGGTGGATCAGGGCCTGATCAACTAGGCTGTTACTGCTGGCAGCACGTAAACCAACGTACGAACCACAGCCGAGCTGATCCGGCACTGACTTTAGGTATCTGTCCAGCTCCCTCTTGAAGGCATCCAGGGGACTATTGTTTATTTCCCTTATGACTGGTGGGAGGCTGTTGAACAGTCTTGGGCCCCGGACATATATTGTGTTTTCTCTTAGTGTACTAATGGCGCCCCTACTTTTCACTGGGAATATGCTGAACCGCCTGCTAAGTCTTTCGCTTTCGTAGGGAGCGATTTCTGTGTGCAGATTAGGGACCAGTCCCTTTACGTTTTTCCAGGTGTAGATTATGATGCGTCTCTCTCGCGTGCGCTCCAGTGAGTACAAGTCAAGTGCTTCCAAGCGTTCCCAGTAGTTAAGGTGTTTGACGGAACTTGTATGTGCGGTAAAGGTTCTCTGTACACTCTCTAGATCAGCGATTTCACCTGCCTTAAATGGAGATGTTAATGTACAACAGTATTCCAGCCTAGACCTAGAGAGAACAAGTGAGGCCTTCCGCTGGCTTACCAGATTACGCCGAGTGTGTTTGTGAAAAACTGGTATTAGACAGGTACTGTCTGCATTATCTGCACTGCTCCAGTTTCAGAATGTTAATTAATAATATACAGTACTGGAAAAAGGATTAGACACTATCTGCAACATTTGGGTATCTTTATTGTGGAAACGTTTCGCCAACAAGTGGCTTCCTTAGTCCGGTACAGAGACGAATAGTGGAAGTTGAAAAGGAGTTTGAGGTAATCAGTCCCTCAGCCTGAAGCTTTTACTACCCAGCATCTGTGCTGTGCCCACCAGCCTTCCTGACAGGATCGCATTATCTACCTGGAAAAATAGACTGCTGGTGTTGGACTACATCTGTGCATCTGGTCCACACCTACAACCTATTTTCTGCTGGTCAGCAGGATGCTGCTGCTGATCACGGGGAAGATCACAAGATCAACAAGGCTTGGAAGTGGCACTTGGCCCCCAAGTACCACTTCCTCCCTACAGAATCAGAGATCCCTTGGCCTTTAACCTATACAGAAAAGGTCACAGTCATTACAAAGGATTTAACACACACACACCCTCAACAAACTCCCATCTATTGTTCTTCTAGTCGAGGGAACTATAAACATGAACGATATAATACTCAGTAAATAATTAACCTTTCGTCATGTTGATATAATTATGAGCTTATTTAGTGTAAGTACAAGAGAATTAAATGAGTATTACCCAGGATTAGCTGGTATATAATACGGTCTTTCATCTGCTGTTTTCCACTATGTAACTCCAACAATGCATGGAACTTCTGTTGATAGTCAACCCTAGAAGTTGATACATATATATATATATATATATATATATATATATATATATATATATATATATATATATATATATATATATATATATATATATATATATATATATATACTCTTTTGGTCCCCAGGTACGCCCGTCCTGTGTTTGCAATGACCAGCGATGATCCAAAGTGGTGCAAAGAAAATCTTGTGGACAAAGATGTTGTTTTTGCTGGTGAGTAGTGAGGCGGTACCTGGTACACATTATTTGGTGTTGGTGCTGCGTGTGGTTGTAGTGGTAGTGTTGGTGCTGCGTGTGGTTGTAGTGGTGGTGTTGATGGTAGTGAGGATGATAGTGAAGGTGACAGAGAGTGCAGGTGGTGATGATGAATGATGATAGTTAATCTCCAGGGTTTGTTACCTGGACCTCAACAATGAGAGTGGCTACTCATATTTCTCATATCATTTCTCATATCTCATATCATATTTCTCATATCATTTACAGGTGGTGATGATCCTGTGGTGGACATGGCGATCCTGACCCTGGGTGACCACCACGTCATAACCTATGGCACCTATGGCTTCGTCAGCGCCTTCCTAGGTAGAGGAACTATCGTCTTCCCCGACACCTACGGGGAGCCTTACACCTACTGCTTCAACTCGACCTTCTTCCAACCACTCTACAGGGATTAACATCTACAAAACCCCAACTGCTACTTTAATGGAACATTTCATTGATAATGAGGAAATGGCATGGTGATACCGACAAGATGTACATAAGTGTCTTTTTCCACATTTCATTGATAGTTTTACTTCACCAGTTCGTTGTTTACAGTCTTGTATCATGAATGTTTTACTGTGATAACATAAGAACATAAGAAAGAAGGAACACTGCAACAGGCCTACTGACCCATGCGGAGCAGGTCCATGTAATTCCCCCGGATTAGGTCAATGACCTCCCCCCCGGATTAGCCCAATGACCCACCCAGTCTGATCATCTCCACTCAAGGATGGAGCACTGCACCAGACCCAGCAGCACAAGCTAGTCAGGTCCAACTCACACCCACTCATGTATTTATTAACTGATGATCTTGTATCTATTAAGCTTTCTTGGAGGACTAACTCTCAATTATCTCATGTTATCCATGTTATATAAGGGAGTAACTTAATTTTGATGACCTTTCAAGTTTTACTGCGGCACTAACTAAGCCATACCACAGGTGGGGATAGAACCCGCGATCAGAGAGTCACAAAACTCCAGACCGACGCGCTAGCCACTAGCCCAGTGGTTAGCGCGTCGGCCTGGAGTTTTATGACTCTCTGATCGCGGGTTCTATCCCCACCCGTGGTATGGTTTGTTTGCAATCGTGTCATTACGATTTCGTGAGGCACTAATCACTGACTGCATTGTTACACAACTGTTAAGTACCATGAAGGGATTCAACACACACTGTCAAGGCTGAGGGACTGATTACCTCATTATCTACTGTCTCCAGTTTATACTGTAATCTTAGTATTGAACTGAAATAAAAACATCGCTTGGCGAAACGTTTTCATAATAAAACTACACAGGTGTGACACATGTGTCTTATTCATTAAACCCCAACACTTATTTATACAAAATCATCAGATTTCGCTACATATTTCAAGGTTGATGGACTGATTACCTCTATACTTCTCCATTGCTGCTGCTGTCTCCAGTTATAGTCACTTCTGTATGCGACTGAAGAAGCTCACTGTATAGGCGAAAGTTACTTAAATATACTCAAGTGTTGCACATGTCTTATTCATCAACTTATCAAGTTTATAGTCTGTTAAGACTGTCTCATCAACTGGGCTGCCAAACATCTGCTCAAAGTAAACTCATCAAAAAAAAAATAACTGGAATCAGTCCCAGAGAGAGAAAAAAAAGTGCACTTACTCTCAGGAGCACGAAACTGTATTTCAGTACGAAACTGTATTTCAGGAGCACGAAACTGCATTTCAGTACGAAACTGTATTACAGTACGAAACTGTATTTCAGTACGAAACTGTATTTCAGTACGAAACTGTATTACAGTACGAAACTGTATTTCAGTACGAAACTGTATTACAGTACGAAACTGTATTTCAGGAGCACGGAACTGTATTTCAGGAGCACGAAACAGCATTTCAGGAGTACGAAACTATTTCAGGAGCACGAAACTATTTCAGGAGCACGAAACAGCATTTCAGGAGTACGAAACTGTATTTCAGGAGCACGAAACTATTTCGGAAGCACGAAACTATTTCAGGAGTACGAAACAGTATTTCAAGAGTACGAAACTAGGTGTCAGGAGCACATGACAGTCGTCTGCTTGTTTTAAAACAATGAATGTGATTTTCTGATCAGTAGTGAACTCATAAGCCTCACTTTGACGCTGTGTAGCTTCACTTTGACGCTGTGTAGCTTCACTTTGACGCTGTGTAGCTTCACTTTGACGCTGTGTAGCTTCATTTTGACGCTGTGTAGCTTCACTTTGACGCTGTGTAGCTTCACTTTGACGCTGTGTAGCTTCACTTTGACGCTGTGTAGCTTCACTTTGACGCTGTGTAGCTTCACTTTGACGCTGTGTAAGTTCACTTTGACGCTGTGTAGCTTCACTATGACGCTGTGTAGCTTCACTTTGACGCTGTGTAGCTTCACTTTGACGCTGTGTAGCTTCACTTTGACGCTGTGTAGCTTCACTTTGACGCTGTGTAGCTTCACTTTGACGCTGTGTAGCTTCACTTTGACGCTGTGCAGCTTCACTTTGACGCTGTGCAGCTTCATTCTGAAACTGTGTAGCTTCATTTTTAAACAGTGCAGCTTCACTTTGAAGCTCTGAAGCTTAAATTTGAAGTTCAGGAACTTTCAAGTTCAGTATCTTCATTCTGAAGTTCTTAAATTTCACTTTCAAGCTCCGAGGCATAAATCTGAACCCCTGAAGCTTCACTTTGAAGCTTTCCAGCATCACTTTGAGGTGGATGCATCAGCTGTTTTTCCCCCAAAAAGCGTTGACAAACGTTGTAAAAGCAAAGAAAGTTTTCCCGACGGAAGCTGCTGACACGACAACACTCCTTCAAGATCTGTTCAACTTCTATTGTATGTGTTATTTTTATACAATGTCGATTAGTTGATGAGTAAAACACTTGTGCAACACTTGCCGTATCTTTATTGTGGAAACGTTCCGCCTTCTTAGCAGGCTTCTTCAGTCTAGAACAGAGGTGACTTGCTAAGAGACTAAGCACCTTCAATCAAGGCTAAGGGACTGAAGATATGCAATCAAGGCTAAGGGAATGATTGAACATCTTGCATCAAGGCTTAGAGACTGACCACCTTCAAAACTAGGAGAATGAACATTTTCCATCAAGGCTAAGGGACTGACTGAACATCTTCTATCAAGGCTAAGGGACTGACCGCCTTCAAGAGTAGGAGACTGAACATTTTCCATCAAATTTAAGGGACTGACCACCTTCAAAAGTAGGAGACTAAACATTTTCCATCAAATCTAAGGGACTGACCACCTTCAAGAGTAGGAGACTGAACATTTTCCATCAAAGCTAAGTGGCTGAACATCTTATAACTCTCGCTTCACTTCTTCTACTGTCTCCAGTATAAACATCGCAATAATTTGGTTTGTTCCGCACGCGAAATGTTTCGTAAATAAACATATTGAAGCCCGTGTGTAATATTCGTGAGCCGTAATATCCGTAACTCATTCAAATCTTCAAGTGAGCGTCTCATGCCACTGCGTTACTCGCTTCAGTCACGAGATCAACACTGCACTTCTGACCGCACCTCTGAATCACTCTCAAATACTCTACGAGGAATATTGCTCATACTTTATACTTCAACATCTTTCAGTAGATCCCTCTTGTTTACCGTTCTCCAGGCAGCGGCAGCAGCACCAGCAGCTGCACTATGAAGGTAATTGATGAATGAAGTACAGTGACGCTTTCCGTGTGTCAGCTCTTACCCAAACAATGACAACTAAGTGCCGCAACTTCTCAGTGTGAAATGAACAACGCAAGAGTAATTTACAGACATCAGTCCACATAAATAATACAGTATATGGGTTATTGTATTTTGGTTTTTAAGTTTTTCCACCAGAAATTTTATTAAATCATATATTCAATTTATACATCATAATATTTTACATTATGGCAATCTATTCATATTCAATTCAATTCAAAGTTTATTCTCTATAAGGATTACAATGCTGAGTTTACAGAAATTTGGTTATTGTTTGGTTCACATGTAGTAAAATAGTGATTACAGAGTGTACCACTAGAACGCTTAGCATGGCTAGGCATTTCGGGCATAGAATATAGAGTAACTGGTGAACGTAGAGGTATATTTTTATATTCTTTTCTATTGGTTTGTGTTCCTAGACGGAGTGTGCACAAGCTCACACAAGCGTATCGTCCGGCCATCGCTCTGGTGATATATTGACAACAAGTTCCGGAGAACTGAGAGTTATCACTTGTGATTTCTCACAGGTGGGGGGTCTAGGATGAAGGCTTTGTGTGAGAAGCATGTGGCTGCCTCCTCATTTCTCAACACTCTAGTGTCCAGTCACAGGTTACAGTTAGTTCCCCAGTCTCATTTCCCAGCACCTTTGTAATAGGCAGTCTCAGTCACTGTCCACAACTACCGTAGCTCTGGTATCAAATTTTTCAACAACTGCTTCAAAACTTTAACGTTAGAACTTATTGTTAATTAATCGCAGATTTTACCCAATGTCAATACAGCATTTCCGGATATTAGTTACGAATCAAATCACGGAACGGAAGCGACCTGAACTCATGATAGGTATAGGTAAGTCCTCAAACTCACAGGACAGTGCATTAACCACTGGACCATGCCATCCTAACAAGACTCGTTCTGTCATTTGTTTTCAATCGTTGGTTTAGAAAGACACGTAAGCAAACACTATGACATATTTATTAGAAAACGTTTCGGTCCTGGGACCTTGATCACTTCTAAGGTCCCAGGACCGAAACGTTTTCTAATAAATATGTCATAGTATTTGCTTACGTGTCTTTCCAAACCAACTTGTCGGTATTTATTACCAAGGTTTATACCGTTTTCAATCGTGTTATCATGATTTCATGAGTCAGTAGTTACGAATCATGGATGGAAATTTAACCAGAGTCTCCCATGGTTATAACTTCTAAGTTCCATTCACATATAACTCATTAATTTATTCAATACTTGCTGTTAATGAAAAGAGAGCCTATGGGAACCTTACAGCCTTGCTATGTAAGTGATCTAACAAGTTATTAACTTGAGATGAACCAATGAATTCAGAGAACTTAAACAAAGTATCTTGGTTAGAACAATTAAAGCCACAATACCGTGGCTGGAACAATAAGTCACAGTACCGTGGCTGGAACAATAAGTCACAGTACCATGGCTGGAACAATAAGTCACAGTACCGTGGCTGGAACAATAAGTCACAGTACCATGGCTGGAACAATAAGTCACAGTACCGTGGCTGGAACAATAAGTCACAGTACCATGGCTGGAACAATAAGTCACAGTACCATGGCTGGAACAATAAGTCACAGTACCATGACTGGAACAATAAGTCACAGTACCATGGCTGGAACAATAAGTCACAGTACCATGGCTGGAACAATAAGTCACAGTACCATGGCTGGAACAATAAGTTACAGTACCATGGCTGGAACAATAAGTCACAGTACCATGGCTGGAACAATAAGTCACAGTACCATGGCTGGAACAATAAGTCACAGTACCATGGCTGGAACAATAAGTCACAGTACCATGGCTGGAACAATAAGTCACAGTACCATGGCTGGAACAATAAGTCACAGTACCATGGCTGGAACAACAAGTCACAGTACCATGGCTGGAACAATAAGTCACAGTACCATGACTGGAACAATAAGTCACAGTAAAATGGCTGGAACAATAAGTCACAGTACCATGGCTGGAACAATAAGTCACAGTACCATGGCTGGAACAATAAGTCACAGTACCATGGCTGGAACAATAAGTCACAGTACCATGGCTGGAACAATAAGTCACAGTACCATGGCTGGAACAATAAGTCACAGTACCATGGCTGGAACAACAAGTCACAGTACCATGGCTGGAACAATAAGTGACAGTACCATGGCTGGAACAATAAGTCACAGTAAAATGGCTGGAACAATAAGTCACAGTACCATGGCTGGAACAATAAGTCACAGTACCATGGCTGGAACAATAAGTCACAGTACCATGGCTGGAACAATAAGTCACAGTACCATGGCTGGAACAATAAGTCACAGTACCATGGCTGGAACAATACAAAAATAACCCGCAATGAAAAGACCGAAAATTATGACGACGCTTCGGATTTATTATATTAATAGGATTTATTATATTAATATCGAAAGATTTATTGTATTAAAATCAGAGGATTTATGTTATTAATATCAGAGAATTTATGGTATTAATATCGAAGGATTTATTGTATTATAAAAAAAAATATGGTACAATACTAATATCAGAAGATTTGTGGTATTAATATAAAAGGATTTATGATATAAATATCAGAGGATTTGTA